TGCCTTGGCCTCCTCATATTTCCCTTGCCGTGAATATGTTCTTGCAAGATTTTCCATGCTGGTCAAAGTATTGGGATGTTCAGGCCCCAGGATCCTTTTACGCAGATCCAGAACATTTACTTCCAGCTCTGCAGCTGCCTCATATTTTTCTTGGTCAAAATATGTGACTGCAAGATTTGTCATGTTAGTCAATGTATCTGGATGTTCTGGCCCCAACACCCTTGTACGCAGATCCAAGACTTTCAGCTCCAGCTCCCCAGCCTCCTCATGTTTTCCTTGGTCTGAATATCTTCTTGCAAGGTTTGCCATGCTGGTCAATGTAGCTGGATGTTCTGGCCCCAACACCCTTGTATACAGATCCAAGACTTTCAGCTGCAGCTCCCCAGCCTCCTCATGTTTTCCTTGGTCTGAATATCTGACTTGCAAGGTTTCCATGCTGGTCAATGTAGCTGGATGTTCTGGCCCCAACACCCTTGTATGCAGATCCAAGACTTTCAGCTGCAGCTCCCCAGCCTCCTCATGTTTTCCTTGCTCTGAATATGTGACTGCAAGGTTATTCATGCTGGTCAATGTATCTGGATGTTCTGGCCCCAACACCCTTGTACGCAGATCCAAGACTTTCAGCTCCAGCTCCTCAGCCTCCTCATGTTTTCCTTGGTCTGAATATCTTCTTGCAAGGTTTGCCATGCTGGTCAATGTAGCTGGATGTTCTGGCCCCAACAGCCTTGTATGCAGATCCAAGACTTTCAGCTGCAGCTCCCCAGCCTCCTCATGTTTTCCTTGCTCTGAATATGTGACTGCAAGATTATTCATGCTGGTCAATGTATCTGGATGTTCTGGCCCCAACAGCCTTGTACGCAGATCCAAGACTTTCAGCTCCAGCTCCTCAGCCTCCTCATGTTTTCCTTGGTCTGAATATCTTCTTGCAAGGTTTGCCATGCTGGTCAATGTAGCTGGATGTTCTGGCCCCAACAGCCTTGTATGCAGATCCAAGACTTTCAGCTGCAGCTCCCCAGCCTCCTCATGTTTTCCTTGCTCTGAATATGTGACTGCAAGATTATTCATGCTGGTCAATGTATCTGGATGTTCTGGCCCCAACACCCTTGTACACAGATCCAAGACTTTCAGCTGCAGCTCCCCAGCCTCCTCATGTTTTCCTTGCTCTGAATATGTGACTGCAAGATTATTCATGCTGGTCAATGTATCTGGATGTTCTGGCCCCAACAGCCTTGTACACAGATCCAGGACTTTCAGCTGCAACTTCCCAGCCTCCTCATATTTTCCTTGGTATGAATAGGTCCTTGCAAGATTTGACATGCTGGTCAGTGTTGATGGATGGTTCATCCCCTGCTCCTTCATCCTCATTTCTACTATTTGAAGCTGAAGATCCTCTGCATCTTTCCACATTCCATTTTCACAGAATACATAACTTAATTTGGAATATTCATCATCATCAAACACTCTTTTGAAGCCATTTTCCCTCTCTGACTGGTAATTTGCTTTGATGTGAGATGCAAGCATCCTGTTGAATGCAATGTTCTCAGTTGTCACCTCTTTTGTAACACAGTTTACAAGGATCAATTTTGACACCTGCATCATGCACCTCTTTTGAGACATTGACATCCTATCTCTACTCCATTGATGCATCAATGGATGAATGGTATAGACTTCTGAAGAGCTTGAGCCCCTTTGGATCAAAGAAAAGGACATAAGAACTCTAATTCCTTCATGAAAGAAGAATTCATTCCAACACTGATCTTCTTCCAGCTGAAGCAATTGGGTGATGCAGCTTTTGACATTTTGTTCCAGTTTACTGTGATCTCCTTTAGAGAATTCCACAGCAGCCTTTCTAAAAGCAGCCTCAATGATATTCTCATGATGTAGAAATGCAACAGTTTCAAGAATAAGAATAGCAGCCTGAGCAGCTGCTCTACCATGCCCATCAGATTCCCTGTTTGCTCTTGATTCAATTTCATTAAAAGACAAATCCCATGTTTCATAGACTGTACAATTGTACTGAGATGCCCCCCTAAATGAAGGGTGGTTCATAAGCTTTTTCCTATGTCGCAAGAGATGCTCAGGATAATTGTTAATCCTACAGAGACCAGCTTGAATAGAAGCTCCTGCTTGATCAACAGCCAGGGGCAAACAGCAGAGCTCATTTACAATCTGCTGAGCTATGATGTAAACATTTTCTGGCAACTCAGTCAGATTGCTGGCTTTAACTAAGAGTGATATGGCTTCCTTTTCAGCCATCTTATCAACTTCCAGAGAGTTTTCATAAGATGTGACACGCCCAAGAGATGGATTTCTGCTAGTAACCAGAATATTGCCCTCAGAACCAGGTGGAATAAATTTCTCTACAACTTCAGGTGCACCATCAGCATTGTCAAACACCAGCAGCCATTTACACTGCAGAGATGCAATCCAGATAAGAGCAGACATGGAGGACACAGAGATATTAGCAGCTTTAGCCTCAGAATGAGAACAAAGACCCTTCAAACCAAGAACAATGGTATCTTCAGAAGAAGCATCAATCCAGAAAATGTGGGAGAATCTGCATGCACTTGTCATAAAATCAGCAATATTATGTCAAAGAAACTTACTTTTCAGCCATCTCCTCCACAAACTTTAAACAAATCTGTGTCTTTCCAATTCCCCCCATACCATACAACAAAAATGATTTCCTGGAACCACCTACTTGACCTTGAGGTGCAAAGTGATCCATTAGCCTCTTGAGAACATCTTCACGACCTGTAAATAAAGCACTTGAATTGGGTCTTTGGGGAACAAGGAGTGTATCCTCTTGTCCCCCACCGGCATGTTCATGAACTTCAATCTTGACAAAAAGTCAGATCCATATCTCAACCCATAAAAACCGTGATGAAAAGACACACATTCTGTGCCACATAGAGTGTGGAATCCCTCATAATGACACTGTGTGCTCCCTGCATTACATGCTTGGGCATCAGAAGCAAAGGATGTGAGTCAAAGAACGTAAGAGTGTATTGTAAACACACACCAGGGACATCGCTTCCCCCGCAACGTCAGGCGCCGTTGCAGAAGTCAACCTAGACCTTGTCAAGACGCTATCAAGCAGTGTGGGATTATGAACTCTAACCTCGAATCGCTACGGCGTTTATTAGATGGGCCCTCAGCGATCATGAGGTGATCAGGCAATTCCTCAAAGTTACGTTTTAAAGGATTTTTGCGGGAGCCACTAGGATCAGACATGGTGGTTCGGAAGAGAGAGTCGATGCTGTGCGGCGTCAATTCTCGAAATGGGCTTCACAGCGTCAGCTGACGTTTTTGATTGACATCCCTCAAGGCCTGAAGGGCCGATGAAGCACAGCGTTCATAGAAGTTAACGCCCACTCGGCGTTAAGTCAGCGAGGAAGCGCCGGAACAAATATCGTCAACAGAAAGCGGCGAGAAAGGGAAGCCAAACGGCACCCTTCAAGGTGACGAACAGAAGAAAGGACTGTATCTTAATTCATAGATTTTAAAATGAAATAAGATCCACCATGGAAATGATACTAGAAACCTAAAACAAATGTTAGATGTTGAGTACGCACAAAGCCAAAAGACGAGCACACGTACCTAACCCAGCATCCTAAACCAGGTGTTTATTGCACTTCTGTCACTCATCCTCAAATTGCCTCACACCCCGGCTTTCCATGCTAAAGTATCGTTGTCTGAATCCCACGACCGCCGGTTGCACTTCACGTACTGTAGGAAGATACTGATGACATTGAAGGGTGCCTCAGCTGAATAGCCATGCGGCAGGCGACAAACGATGGCGTCGCATGGGTGATCTTGGTTCTTCGCTGCAAGGGTCTCGCCACGTCACGGATTCCTACAAAAGACCAATCAATTAGGTCATAGTCAACAGGGAGCAAACAGGGAGCAGCTATGTCGTACCAAGAGCAAGAAAAACCCTGGTGGTATCGTTCAATACTTCTGGGTTGGTCCTAGATTAGACATGGGCCTGACAGCACATGGAGAATCGCATTATCACAGGCTTATTGTCGTTAGGGTGAGCCGTTGGTAGAGCCGCGCAGTGCTGAGATCCAGATGGGCGACCAAAGGACAGCGTCGTCACGGAGCACAGGCCAGCCGATCGCCGCAAAAGTGCGTTGGTACGAATGGATGAACCACTCCTTGGTGATGGTGCTTTCCAAAGGGAAGCGTCGCCCAAATTATGGTAGACAGCCCAACATGTTCAGCGTTGCGCGACCGGCCTCTCCTCTGCGGAGTGAGGACCTACACTCCATCGTTCAACGTCCTGGAAGCGTACTGGGCATTCTGCAGCAAGTTGATGAAAGAGGGTGCGTACCGTAAACTTCACCAACAAGGTATCCTCATGCGTAGTCTTAATATCTACGCAAATCCCTCTCCATTCGTCGTCAATCTCTCATTTCATTCGAGGGTTGGCTGGTGCGGCGACCGGGTTTCCATATCATCTGCGAACCAGGATTGCGGCGTTGAAACATTCGCGGGGCACAAGGAAACGACATGGCCTGACTGACGGACAGAGACGGGGGTTGTAAGCTAAAAAATAGCTGAATGAAGATGGATAGACACGTACTGCTGCTACAGACCCGTCCCGTATCGTACATCCCTGGTGCGGTGGACTTTTCAAAACATATAAGTACCCGCTTAGCGTGATCCCCAAATTGCCGAGCTAATTTGACACTCAATAAGCAATTGCCTTTGACAGATTGAGCTTTCACCTGAACGAATGTCGGGCAGGAGAGCCGGACAGCTTAAGTCCCAAATGTCATCGAGCGTAAATTCCAGGAGCGCGAACGGTGGAAGTTGGCGGAGATGATGGACGTCGATCAAATTTGTTGACCAACGTTTGTTTTCTTTCCACCACCATCAACGACGTACTCAAGGACCTGCACCATCGACGAGTGACATCAGCTCGTCAAGCGATGGAGTAAGTATCTTCTTTTTATAATTATAATGATCACGTCCAACTCAAAGTGATCGCCGTCTTAGCACTGCGGATTCGGAGTCGACGACTGCATCAGGCCTGGAAGTTTGTAGGCACCTTGCTTTGGAGTGGTACGGTTGATACGTTCAAGACGTTCAGAGTTGAACGAATTGGCCCCAGCAACCTTTTCGAGGTTCGTATCACCATCCTTGTCTCTCACCACGTCAACTAAACCTCGGTACGCAGACCTTCAATGCGCCAACGCAACGCAACGGCTATCGTATATCCTTTGCGACGTTCGCGTTAACCCTTGTTCTCAATCAAGGCCGGAGCTTATCCCCTCTCTTCTTCCTTACCCCACATACACGACCTCCATCTTGGACCCATTCCACGCTCTTCCTGGGGGTACAGATACTTCTCCGAGGTTTGCCCTGCTTCACCCGCTATTCAAGGGATGAATCTGACCCCACTATCCGCAGAGCCCTGTACCATGACAACACGTCCTTTGAGGGGCGGTGAACTTACGACGTTACGGGTGATCACAATCACATCCCCTTCAATTTCCTTCCGCTTCCAAACCCAACAACCGCTCCTGCCACATGACGACACCAACACGGCCCAAATATCATTGGGCTTATGCATGCCCTGTCCCCGTCCTGTTTTTTCCTCTGTTAGTCTACACACTGAATCGACGGCCCAGCTCGACATCATCAGCAGATGAATGGCCAGAGCCATACGACCCCGCCATCAACCTCATCCCACCGCGCGTTGACGAGAAGGGTCTCCTAGCGGACTCTTCTGATAATGAACGGGGGGAGACGCATATACTGCAATTCAATCCCTGCTGGAGGAGGAAGAAAAGGGGGATGGGAACGAACGGCCCAGTCTATTGAGGGCGGGCGGAATGAGAATCTTCGGGTTTGACATCTTTTGACGACTACCTATCCAATACCCCGCCGATGACGCTGAGGATGCACCTTTATTCCATCCTCCTCACCGCAGCAGTAGTGGCAGCACGCCTACAACAACGCTAATTACCCAAACTTTGATTTCGACGCCGCTCCATCAGACATATCCACCATCCAACAAATCTCCCTCTCTAAGGCTAGTGAAGCAGCCGAAGCGGAGCTAAAGCGTCTCAAGGAAAAAGAAGAGAGGAGGCAGCAGAGGAAGGCGAGGAAAGAGATGAAGTAGCTTGTGGAGGTTGGTGTGGTTGGCGATGGAGAGGGGTTCCAGGGGAGTGATGGGTTGGCGCTCCTTAAGCGTCTCAGTGGGGCGGGACTACGGCTATCTTTTTGTCGTGGTCTCTGTCATTCTCAATCCCAGCAATCGAGAGAAGGTTTCGGACACTTTGTATCCGCCCCTACTCCTCCTCCAACAGCAGAGGACGACGACGAAGATGCAGATCTCGACGGAAGCCTCTACGCGCGCAAAAAGTCAAAGAGCGGTGCTCACTCGAATGGAACCTCGGATTCGCGTCGTAATCGCTCTTCGTTGAGCCGTAGCGTCTGCGTCTGACCAAGCTCATCACACCCTTCCTCCCCAACATCTCCCCAACCCCAGCCGCCCCAAATCCAAACCCCAACACTCCTCAACCTTCCAATCCAGATCAAGGTCCAACACCTCCTCCCAATCACCCTCCCTCCAATCAGCGTTTAGCATCAGCGACGCTCATGCTCAGATCGTCAGTCCCAGCACCGTCGAGCAGGGACAGGGGTTTTTCGATTTGGAGGATGAGCTCCCTGGACGCATTGGAGGTGAAGGTGCAGGATTTCTAGTTGGTCGGATTGGTGGTGGCAGCTTCCCAATGACAGGCTTCGTTGGGACGGGAGGGGGAAGAGGTCTAGGGATTCTGGTGCGTTTTTTAGGGGGGGATGAGGGTCGGGTTGGAGGTGGAGGTGGAGATGGGGTGTGCATGTGAGCGCGCACGACTTACGTGTATTTTTTCGGCTGTCCCGGCCTACCTCTGCTTTCACTCCAGATCTGTTAGATATACCCTCCCCTCCCAGATAGTACGACCATGACTACTTCTTATATGCTTATACACTTAATTGCGAGCGAAGCGAGCAATCCTTCTCTAAAGCGCAAAAGTCCCAAACAAACAAGAACAAATTCCGTATTCGCAAAGGTCGAAACTTTTGGCGGGGAAAAACAGTGTTTCACGAATATCTCATGCATTTCAATATCTCTTCAAATGAAACTTGGCAAGTATGTTCAAGTAGTGTACTTTTACACAGCTATCACAAAAAAATGCACCCTGTCTTATGCATTGCATAGTAAATTAGTCATCATGCATCAAATTTAGGTGGCATTTACAAAAATCTTCTGATAAGAAGATAAGAAGAGCTAGACTTATTTGAACATTTGTATCAGAGTCATTTTGGATGTCTTATTACATGGTTTTTTTGTTGAGGCTTCCCCCCATAGGCTGCCGTAGCATTCATTCTGAGAGACAGGACCAAGTCATGTGAAGTGGTGTCACTTGGCCACGCAACCCACAAAGCAGTGGCAGCTATTGACTTTGCTTTATTATCCAAAACTCTAGAAATACTCGAGTGCAACAAACTAGTTGTGCAAAGTGAGCCTAACCCCCGCAGGACTCGCGGATCCATTTATATTATAAATACTGGACGGGCGGAGGGTTGGTGTATTCTTACGCAATTCTTACGTATGCTTTTTTTTCAGTTTGACATTCCTTGCAGCAAGTTAGTGCAGGTCGGAATTCAACGTTCCCTTCTATCTATTATCATCTAAAAAAGAAACCCGAATTCTTATCATTTCGAACTTTTTACATCGGAGTAGTAGTATTACGTGGCCTAAGTACTTATTACCGCAGCATAAGCCCATGAATCCTGGCGACGTAAAACTGAGAAATTTATGAAAGAGAGGTTAGAAGAAGAAATTTACTGTAATCAAGGTTGCACAGTCAGACGACGTGCGCTTCGAATGTGGCAAACATATGGGGGTAAGTACCGTAGACCAACCACAAAAACTCCCCCTCCGTTTATCGTCGATCCCACGAGGAGTGGTTGACGGGCAGTGGATAGACTGCTCGCGTTTAGGTCACCAATTCGTTTGACGGCAACATCAAGGTGGCGAATGGTTAGCATTCGCGAGACACGAGGAAGCACGCCATCATGGCGCTGAAGCGACCGAAATCGGTCAACGCCAGTCTCTTCTGCACCGTGATACGCTTCTGTGCCCAACTTGACGTGTCCCATTTGTCGACGATGGCCTCTTTCTCGACCTCTTTGCGGACCTTTTTCGTACCAGCTCCTCGAGGCAGGCCTGACAGTTTGAGGGGAGTGAGTGTGAGGTGCTTGTAGGGACTGGGTTGGCGGGGAATACCCGTTGTTGGGCCGTCGATGATGGCCTGTGTGGAAGCTTATGGGAGGATTCTGAGGAGACATACGCGGTTGTGGTCGATGATCTCCGCGATGACGGCGATCTTTCCGGAGAAGGGGACAGATTTGAGGAGGACGACTGTTCAACGTGTTAAATGATTTTTCTCGAGATTCCATTTACACAATGACGTACCTCGCCCAACCTCGACAAAGCGCTTGGAGTTTGATTCCTAAGGCAAGAAAACAGCGTCAGCCCAACGATCTTCTGTCCATTTTCTAACACAATCATCTCCAACAAGGCAACGTCATCCAACCCCATCCAACCCAATCTACCCCTTCCACCACAATCTTTCCCTTCTTTCGGGGCATGGAAACCTTGGAAAGGTTCCTTGCACACTTTGGCGGAGAAACGGCACTCACTGTGCTCATATTTTACTTGAGGGGGTCGCTGGGTCTTGAAACCTTGTGAATGCGTGGCTGTGGCTGTGCACAAAACCGACTGCTTCATGACTAGCGTCTTCTCCGACCATGAAGACGTTGTTTATATCGTCGTGCTAAAATGCGTGAGTTGAGGTATTCCATGCAAGGTGAACTGTAAGACGCATGATCAGGAGCTCCGAAGAAAGTCGATGATAGAGGGAACATACCTTGAACCTCAGCGACAAGACGTGGTTAACCGCGTCTCCGTTTTCTTTGGTCCCAAGTCACTTGAAAGTGGTTGACGCGTAGAAAGGGGTTGCACAAGTATATGGTTCAAGGCAAGGTTTTCGAGACCCATAGAAACCGGCATCGTTTGACTAACCGGACGACAGAAGGTTATCAGCAAAACGAAGTTGAATGAACTTAAGGGACACATACTGCCTGAATATCATGTGTTCCCGATGCCATAATTTCCCCCCCCCTGAATGCACACTCACACCAAGTTTCGAGCGCAGGAGCTAAACCGATTCGAGTTCCTGGAAAGGCGGATAGTTGGCAACGGGAAAGTTGAGCTTGTATCGGAAGAGCCCGAATGGTAGCTAGATTGTGGGCGTAGAGTTGGCGGAATCGATGGTGGTTGAGGACGCCGTTGTTCGAGTCTAGTATTGGTTCGTTTATGCAATCGTCCTTTCCAGTAGTCCTTTACCAGCAGAATGTGTTGCGGCTTGTCCCCAATGAGAGGTTTAACACCATAACGAATAGCCCCCGCGTCAGCGTTGGTTCATCATCTGCGGGACGGTGTGTTCGTTTGTGTAAACTTGACGCCTCAGAGTTGCCACGTCAATGACCCTGCAAAGCGACAGTGTGATTAGCTCGTCACCGAGGGCCAGAGGTGTTGGAGTCATACCCAGGACAAGAGAACATGCAAGATGTCTCCCAGCGATTTACATACAGGACGTGGTCCAAGGCGATCTAATGCACCGTAGAGAGTCGAGTACGTCGGACGTTGATGGTGTTTTGGTCGATCTTAAGCCTGACCAAAAGAAACCACGGCCACAACAAAGCCAAGAGCAGCAAACTGGTACCGGGGTTTGTGAACTGCCCTCTGGAAATGAAGACGCTTCGTCTAATTATGATGAGAGCTTGGTTTGGAGAGCGTGAAGTGATCGGTCAAAAAATCAATGTTCATTCCTGCGATGAACCATTGGTTTTGGTTCTGCTCCTCCACAACTACCCTCTCCTCTGCACCTCATCAAAATCTCATTTCTGCTGCGAGTCGTCCTCGGAACATCGGCGTAGAGACCGGAGCTTAGACGGGCAGTGTATATGCTGCTTGAGATTGCGTCACAAAGGGAGAAATTATGGACGGTGACCGTATGCGTCAGCAAGAGACTTGAGCGGCACTGGATGACCGGCGAGACAAGTCGTCAGCGAGAGGAGGGCTGGATGGATCTGATAAACACGTACTCGATTATTCATTAGCTCCGCCTGCCATGACCTCTCTAAGAGACCGATATAAGTTTGCGAGTATGAGCTTGACATGCTGGTTGAGTTTCTATGGGCTAGTCTGTACGTGTCTTAGCAGGAGATGGTTGTTGGAAGAATTGGCGCTCGTACCTGGGGTACAGCACTGGCCTTGAAATTTAACCCTCCCCCTACACAGGTATCCTTTCCTCTACAGCTCACCAAACATTCCTTCCTTCAATAGACATGCCAGACCCATCGTCAGCGGAATTTGAGGTGCGTGAATCGAGTCCAAGGGACGACGCTAACTACAAGTGCATTGTCAGGAAACTGGTGTTCATCGGAGGGGGAATCAATGATAATGAAACCCTACCTTAACCCTTCCGTTTACGCAGCGAATCGGGTCGTCCAGTTGTTGTCGATCCCAACTTCGAAATGTAATTGCTAGAAAAGTCACCAAGTAAGTATCTCATCCCAATTTATGTAATAGCCATGTCGAACTTACAATGACCGCATTCGGGCGAGCATATTTGTTGGAGGTGATAATGGTGGTGGTCGAGGATGTCAACGTTGATCAAATTCATGTTGACCAACGTTTGTTTTCTTCGCGTTTCTTTCCACCATCGTCAACGATGTACTCAAGGACCTGCACCATCGACAAGTCGCATCAGCTTGTCAAGCGAGCAAGGTCATGAAGTAAGTTACTTGCTTCTTTGATTCAATAATTAAGTCTAACTTACGGTCATCACCATCTTAGGGATTCGGAGTCGATGACTGCATCAGGCTTCGACGTAGAAGACGTTGAGAATTGAACGAAGTGGCCCAGCAATTTCCCTTCAACTTCCCGACCCAACCTCATCCTCCGCCAACAACGATGACGACCCCTTTCTCATGGTCCAACACTGCCCAAATCACATTGGGCTCATGCATGCCGTGCCTCCACCCCGTTTTTTCATCGGATAGTTTACAAAATACTCCCAATACCAATCGACGGTCCAACTCGACATCAGGAGAACCAGAATCGTACAACCCCGCTGTCAACCGTATCCCCCGCGCACGTCCTGACGAGCTCCAAGGTCTCCTGGTGGATTCTTCCGATAACGAACGTGCGGAGACCCTTTCTTTGCACTTGAACCCCGGGAGGGGGGGGAGACGAAAACGCAAGTCCAAGTCGACTGCGAATGGGAGTGGGAAGCCTAGGAGGATAACCTTGTTCGGGTTCGACTTCTTCGGACGACCACCACCCATCCAACTCCCAGACGACGACGACGCTGATGATGCACCCTTATTCTGTCCTCACCGCAGAAGTAGTGGTAGCACACCCACAACAACGCTAACCACCCAAACCTTCGACTCTGACGCCGCTCCGCTAGACATATCGACCATCCAATCCATCTCCGTCTCCAAAGCCAGTGAAGCAGCCGAGGCGGAGCTAAAGCGTCTCAAGGAAAAAGAAGAGAGGAGGCAAAGGAGGAAAGCGAGGAAGGAGATGAAGAGGCTCGTGGAGGCTGGTGTGGTTGGTGATGGGGAGGAGTTTCAGGGGTTTCAGGGGAGTGGTGGTTTGGCGCTTTTGAAGCGGCCTAGTGGTGCTGGTGCTGGTGGGCTCTCAATCCCAGCAATCGAGAGAAGGTTTTGGACACTTCGTATCCGCCCCTCCTCCAACAGCAGAGGAAGATGACGAAAACGCAGATCTCGATGGAGGTCTCTACGCACGCAAAAAGACAAAGTCAACGAGCGGCACCCACTCGAACTCGAATGGAGGTACCTCAGATTCATGTCGTAATCGCTCTTCGTTGAGCCGTACCTCCACCTCTGCGTCTGACCGAGCTCACCATCACACCCCATCACACCAACCTATCCCCAACCCCAACCCCAACCCCGGCAACCCCAAGTCCAAATCCAAACACTCCTCGACCTCTCAATCCAGATCAAGATCCAACACATCCTCGCAATCACCCTCCATCCAATCACCTTCCCTCACAGCCTTCAGCGACGCTCAGATTGTCAGTCCAAG